CCAAAGAACTGGCCCTTAAGTCAACCCATTGTTCTCCAGATCCAGTTCCACTGCTGGGCTACAAACACATTCCTGAGTTTACCACATCCAAAGCACTTAATGTTCTTTCCTCCAACTCTTTTGTAGTTTAGAAAGTGGTTTTACCACATCCTGTACTGCTGCAGCTGCATGGGCTGCTTTTTGTATCTCTGTAGTTTTATGTTGTGGTATTTGAATACCACAAAGAAACAGGAGATATCCGAGTGTTATCATCTCTCGGTTTTCCTGACTTCTCCCTAATCAGTTCTTTACCCTTGTAGTACTCAAAGAACAAGCAATAATTTCCTCACACTGATCCCAAAATATCCAATTCCTGTGGTTCCTGATGTGTAGTATTTAAGCCTTGAGCGATTGTAAATGCCTGAGCTCCAAAAGGATTTCTAGGGATTTTTTATTTTTCACACCAATTTTCTGTGATCACCTGTGAGAATCTGTCCCAGTTTTTCCTCATCTGCCTCACGATCGTTCTTGGAGACCACTGAGGAGAAGACCCCCCTTGTCTGGAATATCTGGCTCTGAAGGAGAAAAGTCACACACCATGGGCCCTGAGACCTGAAAGCTCAGTGTTAAGCTATTGTTTTCACAAGTGTGTTTGCTGTATGCTAAGAGGAGGGCACCATGCCCGTCTGCAACAACAGCAGCTCCCGTCCAGGTGATTCCCAGTTTCTGGATGGTTTCCTGGATTTTGGCACCCTCCGCTGAGGTGTGGTGACCTGGTTTGGGAACGGCACGGCGGCCAACCCGCGGCCGCTCGGGCCATGAGCTCACAGACACCACCATGGTGCATGGCAAAACTATTTTTATTGACTGTCAGCATTACTGACACAAGCTGGGGCTGGGTGGTGCTCAACACACTTTAACAGCAGAGAGGAGCGGTTCTGTCTGCCCGTACAACGCGACACCTTCCGATCGCCTGCCCCTAACTGACCACAAGGGAGGGAACACCAGGGTGGCCCAGGGATGTGACATCACCAGGGTGGCCCAGGCATGTGACATCACCAGGGTGGGCCAGGGATGTGATATCACTGAGGTTCAGGGTCGCATGGAGGCTCTGGGTGAATCTCCTCAGGTCCTCGTGCAAGTCTGGGGAGTTGCCCCAGTGTGGCCAAGTCACAGCAGCCGCCACCTTGCCCAGGGTGGCCACCACGGCCATCAGTGCCTGCAGCTGCTGAGGGGACACCTGGGGAGAGGACAGGGGAGGTGTCAGGGACCTGGTGGCACTTAGAGCCTGCTGCAATGGCTCCTGTGGCCCCAAGGGGTCTGCTTTGTCCCTCCATCCCTTTGTCGGCCTCCTGTCCCTGCTGCCCCCGCCCCATTGGCCCCTGTGTCCCCCCAGTGTAGTCTCTGACCCCCCTCACCCCCACCATCGCACCTCTTGGAGCTCCATGCTCACTGGGGAGATCTTGGGGACGCTCCGGGGACACTCTGGGGGTCGAAGGAGCCTTGGGATGTCCTCGATGGCTCTTTGGCACCGGTCAGCCTCACCACAGGCACTGGGGCTGGTGGGACCACCCGTGCTATAGTAGTCGAGGAAGTCCTCAAAGGCTCCCAGCAGGTGATCCTTGGCCAGGCGGGCGTTGGCCACCTTGGCCACCAAGCCCTCCGGGACATCAGGGGATGCCTCATTTGTCCCCTTCAGGGCGGCCTTGATNTATTGCAGTGCCACCAGGTGTCATCAGTGGCACACAGGGTGCCCTGGAACTCCGCGGTGATGCCCACCAGTTCACTGTACAGGCACCTTGGGGACTCGAGCAGCATCAGCATCTCCTCATCCTCCCTGGGCACGGTGTCCAGCAGCTCACCCAGGGTGGCCACCACGGTGACCTGTGGCTGCAGTAGGGCCGGGGACAGGTGGGGAGGGGACAGGGGAGGTGTCAGGGACCTGGTGGCACTTGTGGCCTCCTGGAATGGCCCCTGTCCCTTCCTGGGGTCCCCTTTGTCCTCTCCTTGGAGGACTCTGTTGTCTCCTCTCTCCCTTTGTCACCCCCGACCCCTCTGGCAGCCCCTGCCACCCTCCTGCTGTCCCCACCCCCTTCACCTCTCTGTCACCTCCCCCCTTCCTTCTATGCCCTCCTGTCCCTTTTTTGAACCCCTGTCCCTCCCGCCACCCTCGACTCCCCTTCATCCCCCATTGCATCTTTGCACCTCCCCCCGTGTCCCCTCTGTCACCCCCGTGTCCCCTCTGTCCCCTCCCCCACCACCACTCCAGGATTGTCGCACCTCGAGGGGCACCATGGCAGCTGGGGACATTCCAGGGACACTCTTGGGACACTTCAGGTGACAAACACACCCAGGTGGTGGTTGGGGACACGCAGGATCGGGGCCGGATGGAGGAAGCAGGAAGATTGTTGGAGATTTTTTCAGGGATGGCTTGGAAGGCAGCTGTGAGGAGCAGGTTCTCACAGCCTGTTTCTGTGGACAGCAGAGGTTCTCAGGTTGTTTTTAATTACAAGTAAAGGTGAAAAACATGAAGGCCTTGAGAGCCTTGCACATCAGAGTTCTCAGGCAGCTTTCTCATAACAAGTGGATGTTCTATCTTTGGCTGTTTTGGGAAAGCAAGAATAATTTTGAGAACCCAAATCTTGGTATTGGAAACATAAGGAGGGGTTGGTGTGTTATCTCTGACCTATTGTGAGCTCAGATTTTGCAATATGCATGAAGTGAATTAAC